AATAAGAGCTCTAATACATAGAGCAAAAATCTCATTTGGTACAGAGCATACCAAAAGAAATCTTCAAGTGAGAAGTGAGAAAAGAAAAAAAGAACTCAGAGAGCTTCAAGAGAAATATTCTGAGAGTTCTAAAAGCAGAGCTAAACAGAGTATAAAAATCAAGTGCTTTACTTGATACTTTCAAAGAGAGAAAAAACACTCAGAGCGTTCAAGTGAAATCTTTCAAAGAGTGTTACATCTTCATCAAAGAGACTAAGCGTATCATTGAAGATCAACTACAGAGTCTCGAAGTTGGAAGCAAGACAAAACTTGTTTTGGAGCAAAACAAGAAAAGCGAGGAAAGTAGCACGGAGTTGTGAAATCCTGGATTGTCACACGGAGCTGTGAGATCCGAAGCAGCAGTGTCGGAGGCACTGGGCGTGATTAGTGCGGGCTTTGTGATCAAAACACTAGATCACGGGATACGTTTCTACTGGAGTGTGGAAGACGGGGGGAAAGTGACGCGGAGTCGTGAAATCCTGGGATAGTAGCGCGGAGACGTGAAACCCGAAGCAGCAGTGTGGTGTCACTGGGCGTGATAGTGCGGGCTTGGTGATCAAAGCACTAGATCACGGAATTCATTGTATCTTGGAACCAAGACGTGGATATAGTGAATTGCTCTTGGAGATAAGAGCAAGTGGAGTAGGAGGATTACACCACCTCCGAACCACTATAATTGTCTTGTGTTCTTTATTGCTTTCTTTACTTACTGCTCTATACTTGCTTCACACGAGATATACTTGTCACAATCTCACACACACTTTATCTTTATTTATTTCCGCTGCGTACCATACTCTAACAATCTAGTTAAGAGTTTTGGTTTCTCTCTGCCTTAGCAATTGTTATACTGTGTGAAAAAGTTTGAAAGTCTATTCACCGCCCCCCCCCCCCCCCCCTCCCCTCTAGACTTTCACCTTACCTCTTTTGGGACCAACAAGTTTTTCATGTGTATATGATTGAGACCTTAATTATCATTATATGTGAACTATTCATCTTGTAAACTCTCATTGATATTTTAAAATATTAATTTTTTCCCTACAAAATTAATTAGATAATAAAATTTTTACATTTAAATTCTTAAAGGAGACAAAAATTTGTCTCATATACATTTTGCAATAAAATGTATATCAATTTTAAATAAAATGTACATTTTAATTAAAGTAATATAGATTTGGAATAGAAAATTAAAATTTGTGCTACACCAAATAAAGTATGATTTAAGCTAAGAAAAGACAATGAATTCTTATAATAATTATAATTTGACATTCATATTCTTTTAGGATGATGAATAAAAAAAATAGTAGCTTTAATTTTTTTTAATAGTCAAGAAACAAATCAAATTAAATAATTATTATTATATTTAATTCTTACCCCAAAGAAGAAAATAGTTGCGGAAAGAATAGAAAAAGAAAAAAAAAATAAAAATGACATGAGTTACATTTTGTGTGCACTAATTTAATTATTATGATATAATAATATAAAAATAAAATGTCCATTGTCGTTGTTGTCGTTGTTGTTGTTCTTATTATTATTATTATTATTATTATTATTATTATTATTATTATTATTATTATTATTATTATTATTATTTTTTGAATGCTATTACTCTATTACATTGTAGTATCTGTTCAAATATAGTTTCTCAACCTAATGAAGCACAAAGAGTCAACAACTGTCAACAACACCTCCACTGAGGCTCGATCTCATGACCTCCCATATGGGAGAGGTCACTACATGTTAAATTATTATTATTATTATTATTATTATTATTATTATTATTATTATTATTAAATTACTAGAAAATATTTTGCAACGAGTAAGTTAAGAATAATAAAAGTTAACAGAATATTTCGTTACTAAATTTCAAGCTACATAAATCAAGGCATAGGGAATGTGAGATGTACATAAGTGTCCAAATGCTACTCTCATAACTATTTGGACCTACAATTTCACCTTTAACTCCACTCTTGTAATAATTCAAGCCAAAATGTCTAAGTAAGGACACAAAGAATACTCCGCTCAACGCCCAAGTACTCTTGTAGTGGGTATCAAGTGTGTGAAAGTGTGGCTAGTGTACAAGCTTTACTCTGGTAGTAATAAATACCCTCCATATTCAATCATATAATCGGGATCCAACAATTATACACATTATCAATACAAACTCAATTCACACACAAACCCTAATACCCAAATAATTGTCTTTAGGCAATGTAAATCAAATGTGAATCAATAGCAAGAAATCAAACAAAATCCAAGCCCTAGATGGCTAGATATTTAGCTACTCATACTAGAATGATTAATAAATACACAAATTAAAAGAGCTAAATGAAGTCGTAAATTTAAATTCAAGATAGAAAGTAAAAAAAGAAAAAAAAAAAAAACTTATCTATTGATTCAAAATAATATGTAATAAATACAAGGTTCTTGAGCTTGAAATTGAAGAGGCACAAGAAATTTAAGCTAATCTAATAAATTAGTGATAAAACTATGTAAGAAATGAAAGGAATTGAAATAATGGAAAAAAAGGGTGGAGAGTTCTCTTCAAAATTAGCTCAAATATGGCTTAGATTTATATAGGGTGCTAGGCACTACTGCACTAGCATGGGCACGACCATGGTCAAGAGAAAAATGAACAAAGAGTGTACTATGTCGTAGGCATGGGCACAAGCACAATTATGTCTATGCTTGTGCCTATCGGACAAAAGTTCCGATGCAGTTGATTTATCTTCTAGGTTATTGTTCACTCTTGAAACGTTTGAATTAGTCTTTTTGATATGCTAAAGTTGTAGATATTTAAGCTAGCTTTCCAATGACGTTGAAATCAATTCATTTAGACATTCATAAGTTGAGATATGACCAAAATACTAAGCAATGGCCGTGTTGTGCGAGAATTTCAACTTCTTATTCTTTTGCTTCACTTTTGCTTTAGCTTGTCCATATGATCAAAACCATTGAAAATTTCATTATTTTGCTCTCCAAGAGGTGTTGTATCTTATTCCATTGCTTCACTTGGGATCCCATTAACTCTAAATGCATCTAAAATGCTCCAAAATCATTCAGTTAATCTCAATCATCAATAATTACACCCCTAAACACACAAATGAAACAACTAATGAACACTTTGGCCAACATTATAACAAATGGCACACAAAATAAGCTTAAATGCAAGGTGAAAATATAAATAATTAGGCACTTATCAACTCTCTCACACTTAAACATTTGCTTTTCCTCAAGCAAATAAAGTCATTTAAATCAAAGCTAAGACAAGCAAACAATGTTAAAAAGATTTATTAAGGAATTTTTTAAAAGTAACAAATGTTAATGAAAAGAATCAAGTGAAATTTTCAACATCTTGAGCTAGCTAATAAGTCAAGTAAAATGTTATGAAAACCTTTTAAATAAAAATACATTTTTGAAAACTAGCGCAATCTCATAAAAAATGCACTCCAGCACTTGAATTATGAAAATTAGGTTTCTCTCCATACAAAACCTAGACTTGAAACATGGTCCAAAGGATTTACGGTTGAACCATTGAAGACATGAATGCAGTGAAATAGAGAAAGAACCATGCCAAAGTGATAAGACAATAGTATGTACATGTCTCAATAACCACCATTCACATTCTCAATGTCATATTCAATCTTAATTAGAGATAGCAACAATGTATAGCTTAAGCCTCTCTTTTTCACAAGTTGTGTCTTTTTTCATCTCTTTACTTTTTTTAGCAACTTCTAGAATTTCTCTTTAGATTTTGAATATCCCATCATAGGTTTAGTTATAGACTTATACATTTGGAAGTAGTTCAAATTCAATTCCTACAAAGTTGGTTTCACCTTCTCTCTTTTCATACCTCATAAATAAAGGGGATTGCAATGACTTTTTTAATTTTTTTTTTTAGAACTATCTCTTCCGCATCCTTACAATCCCACATCTTTTTTTTTTTTTTTTTTTTTTTTTTTTTTTTCATATTAGGGAAGGAATAAGGCCTCGCAACTTCACATTTTTGCCTTATGCTACACAATTTTTGCATTTATTTATTAGATACAAGGACCTTCAACCATACAAACCAAACAACGAAGGAAAATTTCATTGAAAATGCCATTCTTTAGCTCTCCAAGAGGTGTTGTATCCTACTCTATTGCTTCAAGATCACCTTGCCTCCCATTGACCCTAATTACATCCAAAATGCTCTAAAAATCATAATTACACCTAAACACACATATAAATCAAATAATGAATACTTTGGCCAAAATTATAACAAATGACAAGCAAAATAAGTTTAAATACGTACAAAGTGAAAATATGAATAATTAGACACTTATCAACAGTTTAAGAATTCAAAAATAAATATTATATATATTTTGTATTGTTTGATTGTATAATGCCAAAAGTTGTTAAGAATTTAAAAATAAACATTACATCAATTTCATATTGTATAATCGCATAGTGCCAAAATATTGTGCGGTAACATAGTTAGTTTATTAGTCAATTTTCACTTATTTAATCACTATTAGGTGTTTGACTTGGTTAAGCAATCAATATGAATGTTTAATTAATTAGTTTTTTGTAATAACTTATTGTTCCAAAATGCTGAAATTCTTTTTGATCTATTTTGTGAGAAAGTCATTTTGCATGTAATCATCTAACAACTAATTTACCAAACACTTTCTACCATCAACTAATGCTATTAACCGGTCAAACTCATTAATCCAATCAATTAACAACTATTTACCAAACACCCATATATCAACTTTGTATCGTGTCATAATATAGTTCAAAAAATTGCTAAGAATCCAAAAATAAACATTACATCTACATCAATTTCGTATAGTTCCAAAAATTATTAGGTCTAAATTTAGGCAAACATTCAAGTTACTCAACAACATAAGCGCGGAGCTGTCAACTTTCAACAGTGAATCGTCAACGTTAAATTGTAAGAAGCTCAATACGGATTTAAACGACGTCGTTCTTATTCATCTTCGGAAATCAATTTTCTCTGCGAACTTTGGTATCCCTTGGCAGTTAAGAAATACAACTGCATCTCGATCTCTCATTTCTGAACGGGAAATCTATAAACTGTTTGGAAGATCTCCGACATTAATTAGCGGTAAAACTTTCACCGACTTATATTGGATTCTGATGCGGTGTATTTTATTTTACCCTTTTTTGGGGTTGGGGGGTTGGGGTGGGGGTGGGGGGTGGGTTTGAACTCTGAACCAAAAAAAAAATTCTGTATTTTGCTTTTTCAACTAATTTAATTCATTGTTTTTGTGTGTTTCAATGAGTGTTTTGTTTTTATGTTTTTGTTTCTGCTTGTGAACGTTTTGTTTCTTTCACATTTTAAGCAGGTGGTTTCAGCTATGGGCGACAGAGATACTGATGACAGGGAGTCAAACCTGCCATTGGTGGTAAATTTTCAAACATTTTTTCCATATTTTATCGGCATTTATTCATTTTATAATGTATTTTCATTTCCGAATCCATTCATGAAACCTCCAGTTCGGAGTCCCTTTTGTTTATTAGTAAGAGCTTAAATTGGGAAAATCCCTGAATTATAAGTGTTAATTGAGTTGCCTGTACACTATTGTTGAATTCTGGAATCATCTTTTATATTGGTGCCTTGGTGGTGGTGGTGGATACTTGATTACTTGTGGCATTCTTAGCTTTCCCTTTCTTAATTTCACTGATCAGTCTGTCATTAATATGTACAAGTAGCAGAATTGCTCTGCTGGACTCTGGGTACTTGGTGCCTCTTTTCTTTCATAATCCATCTTAGTCCTCTTGAAGTCTTAGTCTTTTGATGTAATGCTCTCCAAGTTGGTTGCATTAGTTCTTCGCCTTTTTGGCCTGAAGGGTTCTATCTTTTCAGCAAAATGTAAATGGTTCATTAAACAGTTCACAATCCTCTCTGATTTTCATCAGTTGCATTTTTTCTTACAGTAACAACTGGGATCTCAGTAATGTCAATGGGGTAGTACTTGACATACTTCCTTTCATTGTTTCCTTCCCCCACCAAACAAAAACAAAAGAAAAAAGAAAAAGTGCATCTCTGTTCTTAATTGTGCATGTCTATATATATCTGGAGTAATTAAAGAATTAGCTTCCTATGTTATGGAGTTTTTCTTGCTCTTGAACTTTTTTTGCTTCACAGTATCCTTTATTTCTTGCCAGAGAAATGATGCATCCGTTACAAATGACAATCTCCTTCCGCAACTCCTCACTTCTGTGCCAAGACTTAATGAAGCAGCGTCTTATCTCGCAGAAAAAACTTCTCTGTTTACAAGCTGTCTTCCTGATCTTTCTGGTGAGATTTTCTTATAGAATCCTTTCTTTTTCAGGTGGTGATGTGTATGTATGTGGTATCTTATGTTCCCCTCTTTTTACATTCACTTGGAAATCTCTCTTCTATAAATTGTTAATTATCATGCATTATATGTACAAGGTGCATATTGGCTACTTTAGAAACTTGAACCATGCAGTAGACATTTATTGCATTTTTGCATGAGTTCGTAACTGATATAATCGCGACTATTGCTGTAGTTTGCTTGCCTTCCGTCTGGTGCTTGATCACTTGCTTTAATATATGTAATATTTTGCTTTCTTTGTACCCTACAGTTGCTACTTCCACTCTCCTGGTTATTGATTTGGTCTTTAGCACTATATTACTTATATTATTTTAATATGATACCTCAGGCCCAGCCTTTGGACACTCTGGTGAACAGGAAATGGTGACATTTGAATCTAGAGATTCCGAAGGATCTGTTAGCCGCAGTTATACTTATGTAGGTGCAACTACATTTCCATCTTCTGAATCATCTCATGAAGCAGCTGATGTTCCTTCTGTCCATGAAGGAATACCTAGGAGTTCAACTGAATCAGAAAGTGGTTCATTGCTAAATTCTAATGCAATTGTGACGTCAACTCAATCCAATCGAAATGGAATTTCCATTTTCCAAGGGTATGGAGCATCTATAGCTCTTATAGTAACTTGTCTTGATTTGCAGATCTATATGTAAAAGTTGGAACTCGTTTTTAATATAACAACATTGCTTACAAGAACTGTATTCTTATACCTGTAAATAACTAAAACTGCAAAGCTATGAATTCTTGATTTCTCTTCCTTATTTTCATAAAATAAGCTTGAATTTCCAAGGGTTAATGGAGAATCTATTAGTTCTTTCTGTTCTTTCCATTGCCATAGATTTTTGGATCTTTCAAATCATTGATTACTTCAGATTGTTTACCATCCAACAATTGCACTATTTATAATTGCTCATAAAGACATTTGATAATCATTGTTGGTTGGAATTCTAATCATCTTCCTCTTGAAGATTCGGTTGCACAGTGATTAATCATATGTATGTCTGATTTGTAGTCTTATTCAAAGAGTACAGAGGACAGTTCGTGGCTCAGCTGATGATATTGGATGGATGCAACGTGATCCACAAATGCCTCCAATTGAAGATGGGACTGACAGATTTTTGGAGATTCTTGATGCTATTAGGTACTGTGTTTTTGTTGTTACTCATTTATTTGATTACATCTGTTGACTATATTTTAAGATTTTTGACCTTGTATATGTTCTTCATCAGGCATGGTGTGCACAGGTTGCCAAACTCGGTGGTATACTTGTTGGTACCAGGTAGCAACAATAATACTTTGTTCTAAATAAGGCTTGAATATTTTTGGCAACTTGAATAAACATGGCTTTCAGTATGAGCTACCATTGTTATACTCCCTCTATGAGCTGCCCACATGATGTTGGCTTTTTACACTGATACAGGGGTAGTAACGTTGTAGTGTCTGATAGTTTAGATTTGTTAACTTATCACAATTCTGCTGTCTTTAGGTCTATTCAGCAACCATGGGCCACTTTACTTTGTTAATACAAAAACAAGTTTCTTGAAAATGGGACTCACTTGTCATATAGCCAAAATTCACAGTGAGGTACCGGATTTTCCTTCTTTTCTGCAAGGTAGTCTTTTACGAGTATCGTTTTCAGTACTAAAAACCTGCGATCTTCAGGCATCGGTGGAAAAAAATGCCAGTGAGATAAAAGAGTATATTGAAGAAATCTTCTGGGGTTCTGGTAAACGTGTTCTGCTTCTTGGACATAGCAAGGGGGGGATAGATGCTGCTGCTGCTCTATCCATGTATTGGACTGATTTGAAAGATAAGGTTTCCGGGCTGGCACTCACTCAGAGTCCATATGGTGGTACTCCAATTGCGTCAGATATACTTCGAGAAGGGCAGTTGGGTGATTATGTTAATATCCGCAAACTTATGGAGATCCTCATCTGTAAAGTGATCAAGGTATTTTTCCTAGCGATTTAACTATGGTATATACCCACAATTAGAAAAACATGTGAATGTAACCTGCATTTGACATCTGATATTTTACTATTTCATGCATCCATTGCAAGTCGGTGGAAATTATTGATCTTAGAATAAGTATCATTCCAGATATGGTTCCTCTATATATTCCAAACACGAGTTAATACCAATTGGGGTCTTTCGAGTATAGTAGTATTTAGTCCTAAACTTTCAATTTAACCACCCATGGTCCTTCAACTTTCAAGTTACACACCACCCATGGTCCTTCAGCTTTCAAGTTACACATCACCCATGGTCCTTCAACTTTCTAATTTTTAACACTCTTGATCCTAACTTTGCCCTTACTTAAACTAACGGAAGGACCATAGTTGGTTAAATTTGAAAGTTGAAGGATTATGGATGGTTAAATTGAAAGTTTAGGGCTAAACGTGGCGGTGCCACTATATTCAGAGGACCCCGACTGGTATTAACTCTTCCAAACACAATGGCGAAGCATTGAGATCCCTTACTCAACACTATTTGCACTTTCTTATTTTGCTTACTCTAATTGTGCCTTCTCCTTTTGCTTAATTTATTGGCCATCAAATTAATCAGTGGCTGAAATCTAATCCTGGCAGCTGTTTTGTAGGGAGACATGCAATCATTAGAAGACCTGACTTATGAGAAGAGGAAGGCATTCTTGAGGAAATACCAACTGCCAAGAGAACTCCCCATTGTTTCTTTCCACACAGAGGCCAGCATATCTCCGGCAGGTTTGGCATCACTATCCCGCATTGCACATGCAGAATTGCCAACATTCTCTGCGGGCCAGTCAACGACGCTCCCAGTGGTGATGCCCCTTGGCGCTGCAATGGCGGCTTGTGCACAGCTACTTCAGATCAGATACGGTGAGAAGAGCGATGGGCTCGTAACGTGCCGTGATGCAGAAGTTCCAGGCTCCGTTGTAGTAAGGCCAAAACGCAAACTGGACCACGCTTGGATGGTGTACTCGTCGTTGAACGATGATCCATCAGAAGCTGATGCTTCTCAGGTTTGTGAAGCCCTTCTGACATTACTTGTGGAAGTAGGACTAAGAAAAAGACAAGAACTAGCAAAAAAAGATGAGTGAATTGAAGCATATGCACATAGGACAGAGGGTTCAAATTTGTTAGGAGGGAGAAATGTAGATCAATGGTTGAGATGATTTGATGGAATTTGTCCAACGAGTGGATATATTCAATCTCACTATAATTCTTCCCGCTATTTATTTATGCCACTTATATGTTGTAATTATTTGCCATTTGGCTCAAAAGGATATTAAAAAAAAAAAAAAGAATTAATATAATTAGTGTAGAACTCAGGCTACTTTGGATAAAATTTAATTTGAATTGTAGTAATGAGATTTGAACTTGTAAATTGTACACTCCAACACCATGCGGGTGGATGGGGAGGAGCCCCCTTCCAGCGTCGATGATGAGTTGTTGGTGGACTCGAGTGTTTTGCCGTGTGTGAAGACTATCTTGGAAGGGTGTCTGTTATAAGACATCGAGTTTGACCTTGATCTGAATTTTTTTTTTTAATATGTATGATAAGAAAAATAGAATATAAATTTTCTACAATGCCTATTTGAAATGGCTGTGCATCCATATTTTAAAGGAATAAGGGTCAAATAGATCATCGAACTGCACCTAATAATGCAATTAGGCCATCGAACTTTAAAAAGCAACAATTAACTCCCTGAACTAACTAATTCTATTCAATTAGTCCAATTTGTAAGTTTTGGAGGTTGTTAGCAGGTCACCCCTAATTTATAATATTTTTAAAAAATTATTATTTAAAATTAAAATTAAAAAAAAAAAAAAAAAAAGATACCGTCTCTGCCAGAGACGAAGAAACCTTCTTCGTCTCCCGCCATGGAGACGGAGTTAATTTCTTCGTCTCTGGCCGGAGACGAAGAAGGTTCCTTCGTCTCCAGCCAGAGACGAAGAAGTTAACTCCGTCTCCATGGCCGGAGACGAAGAAACTCTTCGTCTCCAGCCAGAGACGAAGAAGGTTTCTTCGTCTCCATGGCTTCTTCGTCTCCGGCGTGTCAATCTGTTTTTTTTTTTTTTTTTTTTTTTTTTTAATTATTAATATTAAATAATTATTTTAAATAATAATTAAAAAATTTTTTGAAAAGGGATAACCTGCTAACAACTTGGAAACCTACAAATTAGACTAATTGAATAGAATTCGTTAGTTCAGGGACCCAATTGTAGCTTTTTGAAGTTCGGTGGCCTAATTGCATTATTGAGTATAGTTCGATGGCCTATTTGACCCTTATTCCTATTTTAAATAATGAGTTTCTTTCACTTTTGATAATACAATTATTTGACTATTTTTATATTTGGTCAACGATTATTAAAATTTTACATTTGGTCTTATAACTTTTAAAATTTTTTTATATTTGGTTCTTTGGCCTAATTTACGATCACCGGTGACCAAATTTTTTAGTTGAAAAATATTATAGAAAATAAAAATTTTATCCTTCAGTACAAGTCATTAGATTATTATGCATTCGTGCTCATAACATAGATATACAAATTTGGTTATTGGTGATAAAAAAAAAAATTAGTCCAGTAAACCAAATGTGACAATGTTTTAAAAATTGTGGGATCAAATGTGAAAAAAAAAATCGGGTACTAAGTGAAAATAATATAATAGTCATGAGAGCAAAAGTAGAAAAAATACTTTAAATAATGTTTTTTTTTTTTTTGAAAGCTACTGGTTCTATTACATTGTAGTATCTGTTCATATACTTTCTCAACCTACTGAAACACAAAGAACTAATAACGCCTCCACTAAGGCTCAAACTCATAATCTTCCAAATGGAAATCCAACCCGGATACCATTAGACCACATAGTCCTGGTACTTTAAATAATGTTTAAGTTCAATTTAAATTCATGATTTTAGATTAAAAAAAATAAAGTTTTAGTAAAAGGTTATGTGATAGAAGAACTAAAAGCAAACTAACTAAATACAATAAACAAAATTGTGTATAATAAAAGTTTAAACAAAATTGTGTACAATACATGATTTTAATTTTAGTAACAAAAATAAGGGAGCGCGAGATAGATTTTTTTTTTTTAAAGAAAAAAAAAAGTAAAAGAAAACACAACACTAGGGGTGAATAAAATATCGATTAATCGCTCGATAATTGATAATCGAATCGATCGAAAAAGTCAATTTTCGATCGATTTCGGTTATTGATCTTAATTTTTTTTCCAAGTTATTTTACGGTTATAGGCTTTCGATTATCGGTCGGTGACTGATAATCGAATATATATATATATATATATATATATATATATATATATATATATATGTATATACAGAATTGCACTGAGGTGCGAATGAAGCGCCCAGGAGGAAATATGCGAACGAATCAGCGTGCGACACGTGTCCAAATCTAATGGATTAGAAAAAATGCGGTGGCATTTTTGTAAATAATTAAACATCAAAGTGCAAGTAAAATGTATTACAAGTGCATGTAAAATGTATTATAGGTGCAAATAAAATTTATAGTGAGCATCAATACAAAGTGCACCTATAGTTATAAGTAATTGTACTTATAGTTATAAGTAGGTGCAATTTGGTGCATGAATGTTTGCGGGAAGTGAATGTTAACAAGACAAAATTACATGCACTTATATAGGTGAAAGTAGGTACACTTATAAGTAATTTTACTTGCATTTCGATGTTCAATTATTTACGAAAATATCACCGTGTTTTTTTTTAATCTATTAGATCTGGATACATATCGTGCACGAATTCGTTCCCATATTCCTTCCTGAGCACGTGCATCCCTATACATACATACATACATACATAGGGTGAGGTTCAAGTGAGGATGGCATCCTATATGAGGACTGTGGTCAAATAAGTACCATTAGATTGTGAATTTAGATGGCTGAGATTGCACAAGGGATACATAAATAAACGCCTTAAAAATGGGGAAAACAGCTGAACTTAATTAAATTAGAAGGTAAAACTGTAAAAATGCTTTGGATCGTGTAAACACCCTAGAAGGAAAATGGCGTGATACTCGGTTGCATTACCAATAATTTTCTTCAACATCGTGTACTAGGTTAGCACAACACTTACTGGAGTCCATTAGATTTCCACCGTCCTCCCCACGAGAGCGGCAGAGGCGCATAGTGTTTCCCGTCCGAAGCAATGTCCGGCTCAACCCTGTCGCAGTCAACGGAGAGCATCGTTTTGAAGCTTTGAAAAAAATAGGTATTTTGATTCCCTTTGGTTCGTTTTCCCGATTCAGAGCGTGTGGGTTGCATTTAAAATTGAAATTGAAGATGATTTTTAAAAACAAGGGGCGATTGGGAAGAATATTGAAACAGAAAAACTTATGTACATTATCATTTGTGCGGATGGCGGTGAGGGTGGGGTTAACGACATCAATTCTTGTGTGCATTTGCATTACAATTAGCGAAGGGTGTGTGGAACTCGGGCCAGAGGAAGAGGTTCTACGATTTAAACTATGTTTTTTCGTCTGATTAATACTCGTAGCCATGGCCGGCGCATCCCCTGCCGGAGCAAACACAGAGCATCAATGGAGGCGTCGAGGAAAATAGGTAAGCATATTACCGTTCAATTTTGTAGTTGTGTTTATCGATTCTATGTGGCAATGATTAATTCCTATACTGTTTAAAGAATCCAAGTGGTGAGCGATTTTGGTAGGAAATTTATTGGTTTTGTATAATTGTATAAACCAGGAGTGGGTATTTGAGAACGTTTAACAGGTGAAATCGTGGCAACATTTGTGCACGAAACAGATTGTTATATATGGTTAATCGGTTGTGTGCATTTATGCTTGTTAACAACATGAATTAGTCTGGTAGATTGTTGGTTATTTTGGGTGCACTGTATGGTACATAATGTGAGTATTCCTGTATAATTGAAGAGATTGAGCAGCATGTAAATTGTGAATTATGTTGGCCACTGTGCTGCAGTACTTAGGATTCTAACACTTGTCTGCCTTCTCTTTCAAATAAGATGCTTGCGAATCAAGATTATGATAATAATGAACAGAACACATTCTGCCAACTTTCCATCTCGTCCAACTACTCCAGCCTCTTGATATTATGCCTCCAAACTCTATATATAGACAAGAAAATAATTTAGGATGATGAAGAAGCACTAAAAGTCCAATTGAAATTGTATCTTAGAAAACATAGAAAGAGAAGATTATGATGTGCATGAAATCAGATAGGAAGTCTAGCATTTAAAAGAAAAATAAATGGGCTCCATTACAGGAATGAGGAATGAGAATATATACCTGTTCGTGGATATTTTTCCGCTTAAACAGTGTGCATTTTTTATTCTGTAAAATGTTAACTTATAAATTGTGTGCATGGTTTGTATTGCTGTGTGTGCTTTTCAGTTCTTAGTCAGTGTGCATATTACCAAATATACAGTGTGTTTTATTGCTCGTGAACAATGTGCATTTTACAGTTGTGCATTTGTCCAGTTTGGTATTGTGCATTTTAGGAGCATAGATTAATTGTAGCAGTTTTCCACATAGGTAGTGTGCATTTATTGTGTTTGATAGTTTGCAACTGAGCTAGATTATTTGGATTGATAGCCGACAAATTAAATATGGAAAGATCCCCGAGGACTTGGTAAGCATCCCGTACTAAGGGGTTAAAATTTGAATTTTGTATGCTAATCAATTCTAGTAATGGATGTGTGCACTTGTGTGTTCCTCCTATGTTTATTTGAGACTATATGAAGTGAGGAGTTTATAGGCCACTTAAGTAGAATCCGAAAATGAGCGTCTTTGGTGATCAAATTTGTGCAGCTGTGTTTTTTCCTATGTGCATTGTTAGCGTATATGTGTACTGTTAGTCCAGTGTTGTGTGCATATAGGGAGCAGATAGGTGTGCTGAGGTTAGTAATTTTAACCGGGCTGTTTTATGAATTGCATATCTAACAATGTTATTGTACACCACACAGAAGGACATGTTGTCAACGTTTCATGATGATGAGCTTAAAAAAGAGAAGACAGTGGCGGTACAATTGCTCGACCCAAAGCGTATGCAAATGCGATGGAGGGATACCAAAAACAAGGAGGATTGCGGGGTGTTCGCCTTAAGACACATGAAACATTCTTTGGGGAAGGGAGTTGCGAATTTAGACTGCGGTTTACGCAAATGTGACAAAGATATGAAAAAGATATGATGCATTTGAGGGTCAAATATAAGTGCATACTATCATATGTTAATGACAGTGTACTATCAGCGTGTGGTTGCGGCAGTTTTAAGGGTACTATAAGCATGTGGTTGCGACAA